AGGGTTTAGGGTTTAGGGTTTAGGGTTGTACCCTAATTGGGGGTTACAAGTAATTGTACCTATGGTTGCCCATCATAACCCTAAACCCTAAACCCTAAACCCTAAACCCTAAAGAGCTTTGGCCGAGGAAGACGCAGCCCCCGTCACTGGTTGCTGCCACTGGCCTCAAGAGTCTCTCAGAGATACTTTGGAATGATTTTTGATTTTTGGGTTTAGGGTATAGGCATAGGGTTTAGGGTCTAGGGTTTTCATTCCTAAGAGAGTCAGCTAAGATCATAACTTTAGCTAGGGCTCCAAGTTCAGTTCAGGTCTTGGGGCGGTGAGCACCGACTCTTTGCAGACGATGGGGGGGCGCTGGGGGCCAGTCTCTCCCTACATTTAGGGTTTAGGGTTTAGGGGTTATGAAGAATGTTGATATTACTGTTATTGGTGAGTGTATATAAGGTTCCTTTCTAAGATTGGTGAGTGTATTTATCTGGTGTCTTTTTGGGGGTACTAGAAATATATACCCTACGTCACATGAAAACCCCCCGAAGAATTATAAGGCCCCCTAAACTCTTCCCTTTCGGTTGTAGGGTTGTTTTAGGGTTGAGGGCAGTTGAGGGCCTCAAGTTGAGGGTTTACTTCTAAGGATGTTGGATGCTACCCTAAATCCTGAACCCTGAACCCTGAACCCTAAACCCTGAACCCTGAACCCTAAACCCTAAACCCTAAACCCCCAAGTGGTGAGGCAAGGGGAAGCTGAGGACTGCTGGCTCAGGCCCGAGGACGAGTACGTCCTGGCCCCGGCACCGCAAGGAGCCCTGAACTCCGAACAGGGTTTAGGGTTTAGGGTTGGGGTTTTGGGTTTGGGGGTTTAGGGTTTTAGGGTTTTAGGGTTTAGGGTTTAGGGTTTACGGTTTTAGTCTGCTTACGGTTTACGGGTTCCAGGTTGCAGGGTTCGGGTCCGGCGCTGCAAGTCGGATGGCTCTAGATTATTTCAACAGGTTGCGATCTTATTTCTTTCGTGTTTTCGGTGGAGCACGTTCAAGCCCTACCAATGACTTCTCCTGAGCCTGCAAGCCTTCAAGTGGTGTTCGGCGTTTGACGGCCTTTTGTGGGTTTGTGCCTTATCGATACTTCCTCTCATGCATCCTGGCTTCCTACCAACTGCTTAAGAACCCCCAAAAAAAGAAATATTCTTCCTCCTTATAGGGTAATATAGGGATTAATATTTTATCTTTTTTTGAGGGGTTCTTAAGCACATAGTCCCTAAGCCCTAGGCCCAAAGCCCAAAGCCCTAAGCCCTAAACCCTAAACCCTAAACCCTAGCTCAGCGTGTGAGCTGCGATCCCAGGTTCCTTTGTGCCTCAACCTGGGCTCGTCCCTTAGCGCCGCGGCGACCATCCTCAGCAGCCTGCCGGTGGTGGTTGAGGAGCTCAGTGTTTTTTGTATTTTGATTCTTTTTCTTATGATTAGTATTATGAGTATTATCAGTCTTATTGTTATTTTTTGTTATTATTATTGTTCTTATTGTTACTATTGTTATTGTTGTTATGATTATTGTTGTTATTATTGGTATTATTGTTTTTATTGTTACTATTGTCATTATTGTTATTATTGTGTATTGTTGGTAGTATGATGACGATGTTGACTATTATCATGGCGAGGAGCGGCCGCTGGACCGCCGCGCCGCGACCCTTGCATGGGCGGCCTACGCAACTCTGTGCCAACATTTCCACAAGCTTGGGTCGTCAGGATTTCTGGGGTTTGGGGTTTGGGGTTTAGGGTTTAGGGTTTAGGGTTTAGAGGGGACGTCTGCCTTTGAACCGCCAAACTCAAGGTCCCTAATGCCACACTCACACCCTGGAGCCACCTCATGCATCTGCATAATTGAGGGGTCGGAATAATTACTAATGGTATTCCCTTATGGTCCCCCATAAATATACTATAACAACCCCCAAAACCCTGTTCTAATCATTTACGCCCCTTTTGGTTAAGCCCTGGTCTTAAATGCTTGCCTGCCAGGCGAAGAGTGGTCAGGATTCGAAGAGGACTTCTCTGCCTGGGCTAGACCTCTATGCGCGTGGTTCCGAGCCTCGACAGGCAAGCGATTCGTCAGGACTTATCGGGCTTCGGGTCTACCTAGGTTTAGGGTTTGAGGTTGGAGTAACTAACCTAATATATATATATATATATATATATATATATATATATATATACATACACATATACTACGCTTATAGAAGGAAGATGAACCCAATAAAAGGACGGCATATTTCCCTTGTGACAAAGTTACAGAGGTCACTCTAGGCACGGTGAATGTTTCTTGGGACCTGCCTGAGCCGAGCCAACCCCAGGCCAACGAAAACCCCAACGAAGTTCCGCAAACGTATAAAGGCACTTAGGGTTTAGGGTTTAGGGTTTAGGGTCTAGGGTTTAGGGTTTAGGGTTTTGGGCACGTGTATATAGTAGTTGCTCAATACACCTGTCTCCCAAAAATCCCCCCCTCCCCTTTTAAGCCCTAAACCCTGTTGCAGCATCCCTACTTAGAGGAACAGGGGACTGAGTAAGTAGGGTTATAATCAGGGCAACTCTTGTGACAATGACTTATAATCCCAATTAGGGTACTTGTAACCTTACTTACTAAGTCCCATGATCCTCCAAGTAAGCACCCTAAACCCTAAACCCTAAACCCCAAACCCTAAACCCTAAACCCCAAAATCTCAGAGTCAGGAAGGCCTAGTCGTCTTGGCCGAAAACCGATCTGGGAGCTACATGCACGTCGAGCTGACCTGCACCAGCAGCAGCCTCCATTTCTCGCGAGAACGAAGCGAACGACGGCTCCAAGATATTGCCCATGGGAGACTCCCGTGAATTGGCTTTACTTTAGGGTTTAGGGTTTAGGGTTTAGGGTTTAGGGTTTCGGGTTTAGGGTTTAGGGTTTAGGGTTTAGGGTTTAGGGTTTTGGCTTGAAGTTGCAGTTCGGCACACTCCTGCTAGAGCCGACATGAGTCTCTTCCATAAAGCCGTTAATTACTTGGTCCGTCAAGAGCTTTTCAACCGAGACCCAAGAGCCAAGCACAAGATGACCCAAGAAGCCGCAGTATGTGCCCTAGTTCTTAAGTCAGTCCCCCCTAAACCCTAAACCCTAAACCCTAAACCCCGTACCTCTAAGGGTAGCTTCATGGGCCCACAATATGGGCCCTTATAGCCTTCTGCAAAGGGTTATGAGGTGTGGGCCCTTAGGGGTATATGAGGGGCATATGAAGGGTCCCTAAACCCTAAACCCTAAACCCTAAACCCTAAACCCTAAACCCTAAACCCTAAACCCTAAACCCTAAACCCTAAACCCTAAACCGGCCCCATATGAAGGGAACGTGTCACTACCCTTAGACTACATGCAGGTGGCTGTGCCCACCGCGAGCGCCTCATGGAGCTACTCGTCCCGCCGCTGGGGCTTTGAGTGGGCGAGTATTGGGAGAACTGGGTTTAGGGTTTAGGGTTTAGGGTTTAGGGTTTGGGGTTTGGGGTTTAGGGTTTAGGGTTTAGGGGAACAGTTTTTAGCTTTTTGGGCCTTCAAATTCGTAAGACACAGCGCAGATTATGATTGTTGCTAGGGTTCCATGAAGAGAAGAGGGCAGGTGTGCGGCGCGTGCAGAGAGAGAGAGAGAGAGAGAGAGAGAGAGAGGGAGAGGGAGGCGAAGAGAGCTAGAGACACAGAGAAGAAGAGGGCGATATGCAAGAGTCTCGTGGCTGCCCGCCATCTAAAACGTTCCGGGATTTCCTCCTAAACCCTAAACCCTAAACCCCAAACCCTAAACACTAGTTGAGGACTTGGGGCTTGTCTGAAAAGCATTGTGAACCCCAGCGGCCCCAAAGATTGGAGCTTAATGCCGGCCCTGAAGCGAACCTCATCTCGCTTTTTAGGGGTTAGGGTTCAGCGTCAAAAGGGGTGTCAGTCCAATTGACCCACTCCTCTAATCACTCTTAGGGCTTTCAGAGCCCGCAAGCCTTTCGCACGAACACAAAGTTTCACGGCAAGGCACTCATCATCGGTCTCTTCAGGTTGGAAAGGGTACGGTCCAAGGTTTTGAATTGCCTGGGATGTGTGCAGGGGTGGTTATAACCGGGGCCGTTAGTAGGATACCCTCCTTTCTTGTTGTCGGGGCAGGGGAGGGAGGGGGATATGTGTAAAAGCTTGCTTCTAGCTACCCCCCCCCCCCCCCCCCCCCCAACTAGTGCAGGCCATTGGGACCTAACTACCCATGACTACTATTTGCCTGAGAACCCCCAAAAAGTCAAAAAACATATCCTATATTACCCGAATAAGGAAGGATATTTTTTCTTTTTGGCGAGTTCTTACCCTCAACCCTCAACCCTAAACCCTAAACCCTAAACCCTAAACCCTAAACCCTAAACCCTAAACCCTGAACTTTACCCCTTAAGCAATTCATAGAGGAACCTGAGCCTTCGAGTCGAGATCTGTCTTAAGAGGGCGTCAAGGTCCGGTCCGGTCTCGGGCTCCGATTGAAGAGAAGTGATGGTGAAGCCGAAACTCGGTTTAGGGTTTAGGGTTTAGGGTTTAGGGTACAGTGCTATAGACCCTCTAGACCCCGACTTTAGAGCCCGAAATTCTGCAATGCTCAGGCATTTCATCACAGACGTCGCCGCCAACAGCACCCTGGAATCAGCCGGAACTGCGCCTAGCGCCGATTGGCTGGCTGCACCAGCCCTTCAAGCTGTAGCAAGTGTTTACAGTTCCAGCTTGGAACTTCCTGGCATCATGTTTGATGCTCTCCTTCCTTGACTTCAGTTCCTTCAGGCCCAGCGTGGCACATGTCAGGGCATGAAGGCCCTCATCGCCACGGCATCCGGGCCTGCTGGTACTTTGCCGTGAGCGCACCAAAGCGGAACAGTTGCGCACAGGCAGAGAAAACATAAGTTGGGAATAGACGGCTTGTCGGGTTTAGGGGTTCTGGCACACTTGCTTGATCTCTGTCTTCCCCCTCTTTCCGCAGGAAGACACGTGGGAGGACAAGGGCAGTGGCCGAATGTCCACCACCAAGGAAGGCCAGCACAGGGTTTAGGGTTGAGGGTGTAAGGTTTGGGGAGCTAACAACTGGGAAAGGCGGCACCAAAAGGCAAAGCAGTAGTGCGGTGGAGTGAAACCTAGACCCGGAACACTCCACCCTAAATCTCAACATACTAAAACTACACCCTAAACCGTAAGCCCTAAAGCCTAAGCACCCCTAAGGCATGGAAATGCCCACAGATCGAATTAACGCCCCAGAAAATAACATGGGGGCTTCTCCAAAATGTGGTCCTTTTTTGGGATCCTTGTCCAAAAAGGGACACGCTAGAGAAGGGACCTTTTCATGCCAGGCTTTGGCTTCGTAGCCTGGCCCTCAGAATTGCCCAGGTTCTCGCTGGACGTCAGTTTTCGGGGATTCCGGGCCCTCGTTTGTTTGGGGTTTAGGGTTTGGTTTGGGGTGGGTGTGGTGACTTAGAGCCTATCAGCGCAGAAGGCGTTGTAGGGCACATATATACATATATATGTATAATTTCTTAACGGCCTATGAAGATGGCTGCAAACACGGCTGGCGCGACCCCTGGTCCTACACCCTCAAACCCTCAACCCTCAAATCTTGCCACCCTAAACCCCAAACACCCTAAGCCCTACACCCCAAACCCTAAACCCTAAACCCTAAACCCTAAACCCTAAACATTGAGGTTCTTCATGAGCTGAGCAAGATGACCGGAATGGACACCGCACCTCGGAAGCACGGTGGGTTCTCATACATCCCTCACTGAATCATAGAGGGGTAGCATGTTACATGTTTAAGGGTACTTAAACTCAATAAGGAATATACAGGGTTTGGGGTTTAGGGTTTAGGGTTTAGGGTTTAGGGTCTTATCCCAACCATGAACTAGCTCAGCAGCAGAGGGCTCCACCCAGTCTGTGCCTTCTGTGCTGGTTCCCAGGATGGACCTTTCCAAAACCCTAAACCCTAAACCCTAAACCCCAAACCCCAAACCCTAAACCCTAAACCCTAAACCCTAAGGCCGTCTCTTCATGTCCTCTTTCGTTGTGTTTTTTTTGGCTTTGGATGGCCTGAGGGATTCGGGGATCGGGACCGAAAGCCGCTAAAGCGTCATCTGCGCGCCGGCTGCATCACGGCCCTGGGTGCGGAATCCCTGACGACGAGAACCCCGCAAAACGCCCCTTGCCTTTGTGTGCCAAAGTCCCAAAGAGCTGACCATGTATATAAGGTACCGCAGATCTTCGCCGGAGGCACCTTTATTGGTGCTTTGGAGTGCGTTAGCTAGAGGTTGGTGTTTAGGGTTTAGGGTTAGGGTTTAGGGTTCTTCTTGTGGGTTTAGGTTTTCATGATTCGGGTTGGAGGGTTGTGGGAGGCTACTAATCGGCAGCCCACGACATGTAAACCCCGGAGCTCAGGTGGTTGCGAGCAGCTGCAGCGGCTGCAACAATCGGGGCTCCTGACCCAACGAATTCAATCCGCTGTGCAGGCTGCAGAGAGAAAACGGCGCCGATCTGGTTAGATTATCCCGATTCCCCATATAGGGCTCCTCCTGATGCAGCCCAAAACGGCCTAAACCCTAAACCTTAAACCCCTAGGGTACTTTGGATACCATGACCCCTTGGAGAGAGTTCGGGTTAGGGTTTACGTAGGGCTTGGGGTGTCCGCGTTTGACCGACTCTTCCTGCTGTGACCATCAAGGGATTTTGAAGACTTGTACCCCCAAGGTTGTACCCCTAAAGATTGCCCTGAGTATACTCCCAATATGGCCCTCACATGTCCTTAGGAATCTGTAACAAGGGTCCCCAAACCCAAGGTTTCGGGTTTAAGGTTTAGGGTTTAGGGTTTAGGGTTTAGGGTTTAGGGTTTAGGGTTTAGGGTTTAGGGTTTAGGGTTTAGGGTTTAGGGGTCGCCAAACCCAAGGGTACCACCGTGGCGGCTCAGGCTGTGCGTGGATGCGGCCAGCGGACTGTTGCCTTGCTGCTCCCTGGCTGCCTCAAGCTAGACTTTAGGGTTTAGGGTTTAGGGTTTAGGGTTTAGGGTTTAGGGTTTAGGGTTTAGGGTTTAGGGTTTAGGGTTTAGGGTTTAGGGTTTAGGGTTTAATGTTCACTTCATATTAGGAACCCCCAGCCCCCCCCCCCCCCCCCAGGTATGGTCACAGGCCGTGGTCTCCGTAACTAAAAGCCTCTGGACTTACCCTGTCCCTTGCCTTCACCCCAAAGCCCTCCAGATTGCCTTGCAAAGCCTTGCAGCCTGAACCTGACGCAGCCTCAAGGAAGGCCCACACCCGAACCCCATTTAAGTTTTTGTTTTCAGCAACAAAGGAAAGGCAGCTTTTCAACCGGCTTTGGCCCGGAAGGATTGTGCAAATACGGGGTGGGGGTTATAATTACGTTCTGGGGTTTGGATTTACGGGGGGGGGGGGGGGGGTTATTTATATGAGGTCAACATCAGGGTTTATGGTTTAGGGTTTAGGGTTTATTGATGTTTATATAAACCCAAGAGGATATTCAAAATATTGTTGTTATTAAGGTTCTAAGGGGAGTATAGTAGACTTTAGCCTTTCAGGTAGCCTTGTCCCAGAGCTTGCAGTTTTTGTATGTTCTTGTACTATAAAGGAGTTTAGGGATGACCAGACGTACTGAGAATCGTTGCTCCTTCGTTCCATAGTAATACTGTATACTATACGCAGACTATTCGCAGAAGTCTTGAACTTCCTCCATTTGTCAGGCTGCTGCTCCCGCTCCGGGTCTCTTGCAGACCACCACTGGAGATCAGCCTCTATGTCCACACCTCATTTAGGGTTTAGGGTTTAGGGTTATCCAGGGTCAATTGCTAGATGGGGGTTGCCGACAACAGGGAGTACCTTTGCAAGGGGTTCCCATTATAAGGATAGCATGTTAGGTCCATTTTGGGAAGTAACCTTACAACCTCTCGACCCTAGAGACCATTGAAGCCGAAGATACGGCCTGCGGTTTATTTGGGTTTGGGGTTTAGGGTTTAGGGTTTAGGGTTTAGGGTTTAGGGTGTAGGGTGTAGGGTTTAGGGTTTAGGGCTTAGGGCCCAGCAGGTAGTTGATGGCACCTCCACTTAGTCCTCATCGCAGAGACCTACGTGTTGGGCTTTAGCACGCGTTGGTATATGATACTACATTGCTACACAATGTATAGTACTGGATTTATTAGATACACATGCATCACAATAGACGATATGATATACAAGTGCAATGTAGATATACGCTACAAAACAGAAATTGTTAATGTAAAGCATCTAAGATTACATTTTAGGAATGCCCTGGGGCCTCTAGATGTTTGCGCCAGCTTGAGGCTTGCAGGTTCAAACTCGCAACGAGCCAGTGTACCCCGTGATCTAGGAGCCCCCAAAAGCTTTCGGTCCACAAGCCCCAGTAAGGATTGCAATCACAAAAGCCCTCAAAGGCCCCAATAAGCCAACCCGAACCCTTCAACATCCTAAGCCCTAAACCCTCAACCCTAATCCTAAACTTCCGCAGACGCCCTCCGAGGTACGTAGTCACCACCTAACCCGAACCCTAAACCCTCCATCCGAAACCCCACAGACGCCCTCCCCAGGTACGCAGCCAGGACCTGCCGCATCAGAAACGAGCGCTCGACGAGCTGACGGCGGCGGCATGGACCCTAGACTTTCGGGAGGGGCGGCGTTGGGTTCTAGGGAGTCCCTTTATATACTACTATTTGCTTAAGAACCCTCAAAAGAATAAAGAATGATAATCCCTATGTTATACCCCTAATAGTCAAGAAGACTTTTTTCGGGTGCTTAAGCAACTAGTAGTTTAGGGGTTGAGGGCTTGGCGTCTGGAGGGCCTGCAGGGTCTGGAGGGTTTGGAGGGGGGTTTGGGGTGTGTGGCGCGTCAGGATTGAGAGTTTCAGGATGTAGAGTTCCATTAGGAATTCTGTGTTGTTGTAGCTTATACAAACAAACCAATTCGTAGCGAAGTAGAGCTTGAGGACGGAGCGCACCCGAAGACTTGAAGGATGTAAGGTCGAGGAGCAGTACAGGGTCGGAATAATTGGAAAATAGTATTCCCTTACGGCTCCTCTAGAATTACACCCCAACAGCCCGCAAAACCCTATTCCAATGATCTAGGCTCCTGCTGTCGTTTGGGGCTTGTGGTCTAGGATTCTGGAGATTAAATCCCTTCAAGGTGAAGGCTAAGGGCTAACCAGAACGATCCTGTGCCTAAACCCTAAACCCTAAACCCTAAAGCCTAAAACCCTACAGAGCCCTAGGTTCAACACCCTTGCGACCTGGAGCCCCCAAAAGGCACAAAATCTGGAACACCTGGTTTTGGGGTTTAGGGGGGTTTGGGGGGGTTTAGGGGGGTTTAGGGGGGTTTTAGGGGGGTTTAGGGGGGTTTAGGGGGGTGTAGGGTTCAGGGAAGAACCTCAAAGCCTTAATCTTCAAACACCCCAAGCCCCAAGCTTCCAGAGTCTTTTGAGGCTGTAGAGGCAGGTTGGCCTCACACCGCTGTCGCCAGGAGCCTGGTAGAGTTTAGGGTTTAGGGTTTAGAGTTTAGGGTTTTGGGTTTAGAGTTTGGGGTTTAGGGTTTGAGGGTTTCAGGGGTTTGAGGATTCAGGGGTTATAAGGTTTAGGGTGCCAGGGGTTTAGAATTGGAGTCTGCCGGGCATCAGGGCTCAAGGACTCCTAGACCCTAAACCCTAGACCCTAAACCCTAAACCCTAAACCCTAAACCCTAAACCCTAAACCCTAAACCCTAAACCCTGAAGGGCATGCCTAATCCCAAAGCCTTCAGTGCCGTTGCTGCGCCTAAAGTCTGAGCCTCAGACATCTTGAAGACTCGCTCTGAGAGCTTTTAGGCTTTTAGGGTTTAGGGTTTAGGGTTTTAGGGTTTAGGGTTTAGGGTTTAGGGTTTAGGGTTTAGGTTTTAGGGTTTAGGGTTTAGGGTTTAGGGTTTAGGGAGTACAAATGGACCTCCTGGGTACCTCAACCCTGAGTCCCATGCCCACCGTCGCGCGGAAGCTGGTAAAAGTGACCTTATCTGGGGTACTTAGAACCCACCTACCCATGAACCTCGAGGGTTCATAGGTTTTCATAGACTTTTTCCTACCAGTAGTTGGGGTTTCCGTGAGCGAGAACCCTAAACCCTAAACCCCAAACCCTAAACCCTAAACCCTCAGAGGGCCTGCAAGCTCTAGATCCCGTCAGGTCAGCATGGCTGATGCGGAGAAGGAGTTTAGACATGAAGGCTTGTGGAGCTTCCTGTGCAGATCTTAGACTTCCTGGTTCTTTGTAAGGAGTGAAGGAATGAGGGCCCTAGATATACCCTTAAAAGGATTCTATAGGGCCCCAATACCCTTAACAGGATTATATAGGGCCCCAATACACCTATAAGGATATACAGGGCCCCAATTCCCTCATTCCCTACTAAGAACCAACCAGCAGAGACTCAGAATCATGGGGCCGAACCTGTAGGCTACCTCTCTAATGTACAGCGAGTGTATCCCCACCCCTCTTCCCCCCCAGCGCTTCGGACCTTGATGTAATGGGCTTAGGGTTTAGGGTTTAGGGTTTAGGGTTTAGGGTTTAGGGTTTAGGGTTTAGGGTTTAGGGTTAAAGTAAGGCGGAAGCCCAAATAAGCACCAGTACAATACCCATGTGCAACCCCCAAGCATGTTTCTATTCTGAGCTGCGCAAACTTCCCCTTCGAATTGAGTCGGCCCCTTAAATTAGGGTGCGGATCCGGCCTGGGCCCCTCTCTGCCGTCATAAGTAGGGTTATAGCTGTGGTACCTATACTTCTAACCTTACTGAGGGTACTGAAAACCTTACTTATAAGCCTTCACAGGGTATTCACAACCTTACTTGTAACTAACCTTGAACCTCTAAGTATGATGTGCTGGCACGCTTCCGTCGGAGACCTTGAAGCCCCTTGTGGCAGAACACTCGGGTGTAGGGTTTTAGGGTTTAGGGTTTAGGAAACAGTTTGCTGCTTGTCTTGTGCTGACATGGCGATGAGGTAAAGCACAGCGGGCACCTTTACCCCCATAGAATAGAATACAATTACACTGCAAAACTACTTATGAGCATGAACTTGCCAAGAAATGTCGAGAAGAAAATGAGTAAGCCCGCCAACGACTATGGCGTTTCTTTCTCTAAGGCTCCAAATAGCCCAAAGTAGGTACTATTCATAGACTTTTGACCCCAATGTAGGTACCCTAAACCCTAAACCCTAGACCCTAGATTCTAGACCCTAAACCCTAAACCCTAAACCCTAAACCCTATTATTTGTAGAGCCCTAGGGTTTCTCTGCCCCTGAGGCCATGGATCTGGCAGTCCGAGCAGAAGCGGAAGGGCAGTGGCAGAGGACATCCCTGCAGCAACGTTCCGCACAGAAGGTCCTCATGAATGCGAGTCCCCAAGCCTCAGCCCCAGACTACAGGTGTTTGTGGGAGACTACACCCTAAACCCTAAACCCTAAACCCTAAACCCTAAACCCTAAACCCTAAACTCACCTTGCAGGTGCATTTCCGGGTTTTGGCTTGCCATGCGTTCTTGCAGGAAAGAGGCAAGCAGGCGGAAGCCATACCCCCAGCTTCTTCTGAGCGAAGAGTTGCTCCTTAGTCCTTGGGTTCATTGCTGACCCTATTTGGAGCACATATGACTTACTTAGAACTACCCATGAGCCTCCAAGTAGTGTTTACTGGGTCATTGCTGAAAATCATCTTACATTTTTGGAGTACTAAACCCAATAAGGAACAAAAGTGATTATTTTCAATCGTGCCCCAACAATGGTGCAGTTTAGGGTTGCAGCATCTCAGGCCAACGCTGGACTGTCTTTGCAGAGCCGGCGACCATGGTAGAGCGCTAAGTTGAGTTCGCAGCTTGCAGCCGAGTCGTCCAAGACTTAAAAGACCCTAAGCCCTAAACCCTACACCCTAGACCTAATAAGGGACCCAGGTTCCCAACTTTACCTCTCAAAGATTGCAGATCGCGCTCCCCAACTCCGACTTAGTTACCGGTTTGTAGGAGTTCGGGTTTATAGGCTTTAGGGCTTGTAGGGGTTAAGGCTTACTTCCTGGGGCTAAGGGCTGTGGACCAGTTGACTTTCAGAATTCGACCCCTGTTGCTCTGAATCTGCCTGCCGATAGCAGACCCTCGATCCAGGTCGACCCAGCCAGGCTCGAAGAGATTCTGGCGGGCTACGACGCCAAGGTGCGCCTCACCCGCGGGCAACCCCTGAAGCCCTGAAGCCCTGAAGCCCTGAAGCCTGAACCCTGAACCCTGAACCCTAAACCTAAACCCTAAACCCTAAACCCAAAACCCAAACCCTCAACCCTAAACCCTAAAGCCTAAACCCTAAACCCTAAACCCTAGCCCTAAACCCAAAACCCTAAACCCCAAACCCTAAACTCTAAACGCTCGATCATCTCGAGCTTCAGGCTCGAAGTTGTTGGCTGAGGTTGCGGGCTACAGTGCGACAGGGTTTAGGGGTTTAGGGGTTTAGGGGTTTAGGGGGTTAGGGGGTTTGGGGTTTGGGGTTTAGGGGTTTAGTGTCTAGGGTTTAGGGTTTAGGGGTTTAGGGGTTAGGGTTTAGGGGTTTAGGGTGAGGACACAGGGCGTCAGGATTCATTTCTTTCAGGGCTTGGAGCTGAGGGCTTAAGGTGTCGGATCAGGGACTCACTAAACCCCTACACTCCTAAAGCCCTATAGTTACACTCCTAAACTCTGGCTTACTTCAGGAACCTTGGTACCTGGGCCGTTCGCTGACGGACGACCAGAGTCCGATGCTGAGTTTGCAGTCAGTACTTGTCTCATGTGATCCAAAAAGGGACCATCATTTTGACAACCACCCATGTGACACACAGTGTGAAGTGCGAGTGCCTCATGCTCAGTGTCCATCATCCATCACTACCAGCAGGAGCCGGCCGGGCACCCGGCGCCTGGTGGAGAAAAACCTGGGGCTTTCGGGGGTTTAGGGCTTAGGGTTTATGAGTGGAGGGTGTAGAGAGTTCAGACTCCGAGCCCTAAATCGACAGTTCGTGACATGTAAGCCACAAGCTATTGATGGCGACAACCTCCTACCCCTAAACTCTAAACCCTCAACCCTACAACGCCCTGCTCGCCCAAGGCCTATCCCTTGGGACATGCCGCCTTTGCCTTAAGCTGGTGCCCCAGCTGCCCTACTGTCCGACGCCCTTGTCAGGGTACAGTGGGTTTAGGGTTTAGGGTGTAGGGTTTTGGTTTTAGGGTTTAGAGTTTAGGGTTTAGGGCTAGGTTTAGGGTTCAGGGATTATAGGATTGGAGGATTCGAACCTTCTGGAACAAAGCTGCTAATTCAAGTCAATGGGCTTCATGGCTCAGGGGATGCAGGCTTTATCTGCAGGCTCTCGTGCCAGGCTTTCCCCAACCACCCACATCTGTTGCACCCCCACCCAGGCGCAGCTCTTCTGAGGAAGGTCGTGCAAGACCTGCAGGACATCGGACTCGGAACCCCAGTTCTTAGTAGCTGAATGAGTACACTTCACACTTTTTGGGATGCTATAACCCCCTATAGAACTGAAGCTGTACACTTTTTCGGGGGCTTATGAACTCAGGAACTAGGAGTTCCAATCCCTAAAACCACCTCCCGGGGGAGCAAAGCAGAGAGGTGCTTCCTGAAACGAAGCGACGGAGGAAGTAGACTCAAAGGCGCCAGCACCCTCTGCCCGAGCAATGTTCCCTAAACCCCAAACCCCAAACCCTAAACCCTAAACCCCAAACCCCAAACCCTAAACCCTAAACCCTAAACCCCAAACCCTAAACCCTAAACCCTAAACCCTAAACCCGTAAACCCCTAAACCCGTAACCCCAAAATTGCTTTTGGAGTCTCCTAAGTTATTGCAATCGCACGAGGACCCCTCCCTACACTCTGGCGTGAACCCGCAGCAGCATGGGACATGTCGGGCAATATCGGAACCTGAAGGTATGACTTAAGATTAAGTCCATGAAATATATGTATACGTATCTATATAATATGTAGGTTATATATATATATGTGTGTTCTGTAATGCGCGTGTGGCATTCTCTCTAGGCCGAAAGGTCTGGCAACGAGGGCACACCCCTCAACCCTTTGGATCAACAAATCTTTGGGGCAGGGCTGCAGCGGGCGGAGCATAATACAGCAAGAGTCGCCGCAAAAGTTCATCATTTCGGCGCTTGATGTTTAGCCTAATTTGGCCCACTGACAAGGAATCCTAAACCCTAAACCCTAAACCCTAAACCCTAAACCCTAAACCCTAAACCCTAAACCCTAAACCCTAAACCCTAAACCCTAAACCCTAAACCCTAAACGCAATGATGTATCCATCAGACCATCCATCAAGAGGGGCGCGTCGCAGTCTGTGAGACGAAGCACCCAGGACGTCAACCAGCCAAGTTCCGCACTGGAAAAACTCACCCCCCAAGAAAAGAATCTAAAGCCCTAAGCCCTAAACCCTAATTGAACCCCAAACCACAAACCCTAAACCCCAAACCCTAAACCCGAAACCCTCAGCCCCAAAGCCGTCGGTTCCCTTCCAGGACAAGCCCCTGGGAGGTGGCCAGCAGATTGAGCCCGTTTGGGAGCTCGCGGTGCGCCCGATTCGACACGCCTCCGGGGAGTTCAGGGGTTTAGGGTTTAGGGTTTAGGGTTTAGGGTTTAGGGTTTAGGGTTTAGGGTTATTTTATTAGGGTTTAGGGTTTAGGGTTCAGGATGTATGACAGGAGCCAAGTACCAGAATTATCCCGTTATAGCTGCTATGGTACAAAACAAAGCAGAAGAAACTGTCCAACATGAATCTTCTGATTACGCATTACCTTAGGCCCTATGCACAGGCCTTCGCCTGAAAATGGTTTTCGTTCCTGGCAGCTTGGCACGACTCTGACGTTACCCCTTTGCTGACTTGTAGAAGTACGTGACAGAAGTAGTAGGCTTGGTAGCCCAGTGGTACCCTTTGCCCTGTTTTTTGGTTATGGGTTCCGTTATTAGCTAACCAACCCCAAAAACGGGTGCCCTTAATCCCTTCCCCCTTTTATTAAACGGGGGGCCCCCTCCCCTTTAAAAACTCGAAAAGTGTTTCTTATTATTCGGGTGTATTCTTATCGAAATGTCATAATTCATTAGACTTCAGGGTTACTCAAGTAATCAACTTAAGCAACCCTCTGAGGGTTTTATTGGTGTTGAGGGGTTTCTTGGAGGCCTGAACCTCCCCCCCCTAATTCGGAATAGGGTTTTAAAGGCGGGGTTGGTTTCGGCAGGATTTTCCGGAAAGTGTTTTTATCATTAGGGTTTCATTTAATAAACGGGGGAAGGGATTATTAGAATATGGTGACTGTGCTACCAAGTAGGTGTTGGGTTTCTAGGAGTCCTCGTAGTGCTTGTGGTACTCGTCGAAATAATCGCAGTAACAGCAGTATTTCACCCTAAGCTGCTGCGCAGAACCGCCTGAGCAAACTGGGAACGCACATCCACGTGCCTGACTCAGCGCCTTCAGGTCAATAGGACAAAGTTGAGGGTTTAGGGTTTAGGGTTTAACGTGCAAGGTTTATATAGGATGTTTAATCGTGCAAGATTTACAGGATGCTTTGGGTTATACGGTTAGAGTCATCCTAAACCCAAGAATAATCACGCCCCAAACCCTGAACCTGAAACCTCAAGCCCTTTACCCCAAACCCCCTCCCATTCCATTGTTAAGCACCCTAAACCCTGAACCCTAAACCCCAAACCCGAAACCCTAAACCCTGAACCCTAAACCCCAAACCCCAAACCCTAAACCCTAAACCGCACTGCACGGCTCAGGACCGCAAGGACGCTTTCTGCTTGCGCAAGGCCACGGGCTGTGCTACGTGGGTGCGCTTCCCAGCGGTGTGTGGGTGCGAGGCCCCGGGGTGATTTTTGCGTTTTTAGTTTTTGGTTATGAGTAGGTTTCCCCTAAGGCCCCAAGTGGGCCAAAGTAGGTATTATTTTTAGACTTTTGACCCCAATGTAGGTTATTTGTATACCTGGAGCCCTAGGGTTCTAGGATGCATAAACAACAAGGTGCATACCGCGACCAACAGTAGTCATGGTAGTTATTGTGTCCGTCTTTCCGCTGTAGCTACCAGGAGGGTCACTGTCGTCACGATTGGCAGTAGCGTCACTATTTCTGTTGCTGTCGGTGTTGCAGTTACGATTACGTGCTCATTGCTATTCTGATGTTTATCACTATAGTCATGTGAGTTTTCCTGTTACCACTTGCATATGTAGTCTAAGCAGTTTGGTCTTGCTAGGCGTACCAGTATCCCCCGTACTGGTAGTATTGCCAGCCTTACTAGTATCAGATTTCACTAATCTCTTCGTAGTGCTAGCATTTCGAGTAGCATGTCTCGTATTACTGTCATGACTGTTTCTGTTATTGTTCTAGGTCATTGCCAATATACATAGCACTTCCTTTTGCCATGATTGCTATCATTCTTCATTGTCTTTAGTATCGCTGCAATTGCTACAAGGTTTTTGAGCTTTGGGGTTTTAAGATGTTGGTTTTCGATGTTGTTTTTTCGGGTTGACAAGTCCTGGAGCTGCAGTCTTGGGTCCTTGCTTGAAGGATCATGGGTCACGATAGCCCGGTTATGCGGATACGCATGGCAGCTGTTGTTTCTATTCCGGTCAGAACCCTATGTGAGATGCCTATAGCCCTACTTAAACTTCAGCAACCCATGAACCCTAGACCCTAAACCTTAAACCCTAAACAACCCATGAACCTTGCAGAATCCTGTAGATGGACCGTGCTTGAGCCCCAACAAAGACAACTGCTGTGCTCAGTTGTGTGCTTCAGGTAAACGATGTGTCAGCCACGGGAGTTTTTTCACAGGGATAGAGCTGACCGAAGCAGGTACGAGAGTTGGACAGATACCGTCCGGCCATGGGCCGGAAGCTTGGATGACCCTCAACCCTAAACCCTAAAGCCGAAACCGTAAACTCGCCCACTCCTTTTCTTCAGATTTCGAGCCTTGCCTGTGGCAACTGAAGCCTGCGACAAAAAGACCGCCTTGACCCCACAACTAATATAGGGGTCAGAATAGCTACACTATCCCCTTATGCTCCCTGCACAGCTATACTATAATCACCCCCCCCAAAAGCCCTATTCCAATTCTTAAGATCCCACAACTACAGCAGCCAGCCCTCCTTGAAGGTTCGTGGGATTTCGTGAAACAGGTTTTTCCTGGTGACCTCCTGGTGGTTTCCTTGTGTTTGCGGTGCTGTTGTTTCTTTTTGAGGTGGGGGGCGGGGGGGGGAGTTGGGGAGATAGGGGACACTCCTGAGGATGTTCTCCCTTATACTAACAGTCCTGAATAGGATTATAGTACCCCCCCTATGATAATTCATAGTAAGGACTGTTAGTATAAGGGGGAACCTCCCAATTCGCTGCCCATGAACCTCCGAGTACAGCTTCCTCTGAAGGGCTTACACCCAAACCCTAAACCCTAAACCCTGAACCCTGAACCCTGAACCCTAAACCCTCCGGAGCAAGGTCTGTCGCCCCGAGATGTGGTGATTGCCGTGAAGACCGTCGGCAAGTTCCACCAGCCGCGAATTCCGCTGCTGAAGGACTGGGTAGCCCAGTTTTTAGGGACCCAAAAGGACATAAGCATATGAATTTTATAGGGATATCCCTACCTTATTGGGCTTCATTAGGGGGGTTTATATGGGATATCCCTATCCTAATTTTTGCTTATGTGCTTTTTTGGGCCCTTAAGTTTACCCTTTTGGGGTTCGGGGTTCCCTCATAAAGCAACCTAAAAGGGGTACCCTTGTTATAAGATGGTTACTGGGCTACCAAGAGCAAGGGTCACCACGTCTGGTATGGGACGACTTCTGGAGCTCCTTCTCCGGCTTCCAGGAAGGACCCAGTAAAAGGCAGTCTCAGCTAGGGGAACTACCCAGAAAGGCTGTTCGAATCTAGTCTAAATATCGCGTCCCGGATTATCTAATTGGGGCCAACTTCTTGCGTGGGATCAGGACTTCCTGCCGGAGACAGCCTGTGACCCTAAACCCTAAACCCTGAACCCTAAACCCTAAACCCTAAACCCCAAACCCCAAACCCTAAACCCTAAACCCTAAACCCTAAACCCTAAACCCTAAACCCAAAGCCGCAACGGCCCTGCAGGAGTTTTGGGCAGATGCCAGCCCCAGTGATGTGCTTTACCTCAGCAATGAGGCCACCACACCCTCCACCATCATGTGAGGGGTTTAGGGTTTAGGGTTTTTGGTTTAGGGTAACCTGTCGGTAATTTTCTGGGCTGCCGGCTCCCGTGATTCTACATCCGCTAACACCCTTAGACACCCCAAGCGTCGAAGCCATGCCGAAGCACCGGCAGCAGGGTGACGATGGCCAGCTCGGTGCAACCGTCATCGACCTGAGCCGGGAATTTGGTTGGCAGCTCAGTGTGTTACACGCTAAAAAGTGTTTCGGGTCCATCGGGTCTATGGCGGTTTTTGGGCCAAGAGCTGCTGAAAGTTTTAAATCTTCAGGTGTTCGTGCTGTAAGATCTCCCATCCCTGGAGAGTTGAGTTGCAGCTTTTGGCTACGCCTTGTGATGTTCCTCCCTATAGTAACAGCTCCTTTATAGGGATTATAGTTCCCCCCATTATAATCCCTCTTAAGGACTGTTAGTATAAGGGGAACATCCCAAGCTAAGCCTATATAGTTGCGGCCCAGACGCGAAGACCTACGAGGGGACGCGGCAGGATTGTTCTTGGGCACGCGGCGAGCTGAAGGTTTAGGGTTTAGGGTTTAGGGTTTAGGGTTTAGGGTTTAGGGTTTAGGGTTTAGGGTTTAGGGTTTAGGGTTTAGGGTTTAGGGTTTAGGGTTTAGGGTTTAGGCCAACCTCCGGGGCCTGCCCTCCCACACGTGCTGCCATGAGCAGTTCCCGCTCAAATAATCTCGCACCCCCCAGCAAAGCTACTGTCCGCCCGGCTGATACACAGCCCACTTTAGGGTTTAGGGTTTAGGGTTTAGGGTTTAGGGTTTAGGGTTTAGGGTTTAGGGTCTTGACGCTGAGCAGTGTTGCTCACGCGGGGACGGCCCGAGTCCTTCTCTAACCACACTGAAGAAAGAAGAAGGATCACGTGCGCATCAGGATGCGGTGTGCTAGCTCTTAACACCAAAAGCAGGGCCTCGAATCGGGAACTGGCGTCGAAAGGCATGGCGTCAACAGTCAGCTGCCTTTGGCTTGGAGAAAAACACGAGAAAACGAGACGTTTGTTCATCTACACCCCATCCTTTCGGCGGAGTGGGGGTGGTATCCCTGTGAAGATTGTCAATAAGCTCACTTGCACGCCTGGTGCAAGCGGAGATCCTTCCCTAAACCACCCTACACCCTAAACCCTATGCCCTAAGCCCTAAACGCTAAACCCTAAACCCAATTCTGAGGCGACATGGTTGACCCAAGCAAGGAGTCGACCAAGCAGGGCCGTGCTCCAAGCTACATCGGGTTGTGGGCTCGGCGCCCTGAAAGGGTTTCGTGTTCGGATCTCGAGTTTAGGGCTTGGGGTTTAGGGTTTAGGGTTTAGTGTTTAGGGTGTTGCGTGATTTTTCTCCAACCAGGAAGAGTGCAACGCTGGTCTCGTCAGAAGTCAGGATGTCGGGTTTTAGGGTTCATTCTGGTTCCCAAAGGCTGTGAAGATGGTAGCGGGGTCCACCAACCACTGCCGTGGCGTTGCTGAGGCAGTGGGCACTGCTCGAAGATGCAAGCCATTCTCAGGCAAGGCAGTGTGCGCACATGCCTGGAAGTAAGAGAGACTAGGTAGGCCCTTAAGGGGCATCTTCTATTTCCCCTTCTGGATCATCTTCAGAACTATTTTTCAGAGGGTTTTAAGGGCCAGCCAAAGAGAAGGCCGTGGTTGCATCCAGCTTCTGGCCACTTCGTCTGCCTTCTAGGATGCCCAGTAGTACCCTTATTCCCTTTTTTGGGGGGTTTAGGTTCCCTTATAAACCCCTTTAAGCAAAAAAGGGCACCTTTTTTAAGCCTAAGTTACTGGGCAGCCTAGCCTTGCTGGCATGAGCATTTCACCCTTAAGTAGATGCTGCTACATGCAGCATTGCAGCGCGCCGTGACAAGTCGGGGTTTCCGAAATTCGGGGTTGCCTTATTGGGGTCCTTATTATAAGGGGATCCTATTATTTGGGGACTTATTTTTGGGGTCCCCTATTCTCGTTAACCCCCAAGTGTTGCAGGTATTTGAGTAAACATCAGCCGCAGCGGCGATGGTATGCAATGCGCTCAGTCGCTGACGCAAGCACCCAGCAAAGTGCAAGTGTATGAAGTGCAAGTGTATGAATGTATCACGATGCAGCCTGGCAATGCTTCACCTGCACGACGTGGGGGTTTCTTAAAACGGGCAGCTTTTTTTTAAAGGGGGTCCCATGGTAAGGGGGTTTCTCTTTTTTTTGAAAGATGCCCAGGTGATTACGGATGATGACACGCTTCTGAATGTGCCGCGGCTGCTGCGGGTACTGGACTCCCATGACGACCAGAAGGTTTCAACCCCAAGCCTGGGAGTCTTTGGGGCTTCGGAATTCGGGAGATGGACCCAGCCAAAAGGGGGTTTAGGGTTTACAAGGCTTAAGTCTAGGGTTTATTTATAAGGTTTAAGTCTAGTGTTTAGGGTTTATAAGGTATAAGTTTTAGGGTTTAGGATTTAGGGTCGGTTTGTTAAGGTGTACGGTTTCCAGATAGGGTGGAGTCGCGAGGGTGCATTGCGTAAGGTAAGGCGCCAGGCAACCGTAGATTCCGAGAGTCTTGTGGCGAGTGCTGCGGCCAAGCCTCAACAAACGATTTCCCGGCGATGCGGGTTTTCATGCTAAGCGGATGGTTCAAGGTTTAGGGCGCGGGGGTTTCATGTAAGCGATCCCCTCTGCTTCCTGAATTCTCCCGGTTGGTCGAAACCCTAAACCCTAGACCCTGAACCCTGAACCCTGAACCCTAAACCTCCTTCACGAGGCCGTCTATCTCGGTGAGCGGTATGGCTGGTCGCACACAGAAGATCGGGAAGGCTTGGGCTCGCAGCACATTGAAGCCTAGTAGTAGAGTAGGTAACCTTTAACATCGTTTAACCTTTTTGGGGTAGTAGAATCCCCTTAGAATCCCAAAGGCTAACCTTTAGTTCCCCCAGGTTACTGGACAACTTAGGAGAGCTTGGGATTTGGACAGCTTAGGGCGTAGGGCTTCTGCGGTTTAGGAGTTGAGAGTTAAATGGTCTACGGCAGCTTGGCTTCCTTGTATGGACTGGCATCCTTTGGCCTGAAGATCTTGACGCCCGGAATCTTTCAAAGGCTGTTTCGACCTCTCTGTCTGAGGGACCTTGCAGTGACACCACAGGGCTCATTTTATTTTTAGGGTTTAGGGCTTAGGGTTTAGGGCTTAGGGTTTCGGAAAGTAATAATTTGTTATCAAGGTTCTAAGGGGAGTATAGCACGGGCCAGCGACGCCAGGTACCAACTACATCACCACTGGGGCCGGAATGGCGCTGTCAGCCAAAGCGCTGCAGCTCGTCGTCGCATGCTTGGCGCTCAAGAAGTCCAGGGGGTTTTAGGGTTTAGGGTTTAGGGTTTAGGGCTGGTTCTTGGTAGGGCCTTGATTCCCTCATTCCCTACTTACTAAGTGGGTTGTCTCTTCCCTAAAGGTCCATGCCCCTCATTATGATGTTCTTGGGTCCCCAAGTCCTTGTATAGGAAGTACTTGAAGGCCCCAAGAATCCGCTATTTAAGTACATGGACTCCATACAGGGCTACTGTTGGCTTGCGGCATATCAGGGTGTGTGGGGCTTGCTTGCGCCAACTGCTGCACTCCTTGTAAGGCCACCAAGGCATACCTGTTCCGGCTCAACCCTGAACCCTAAACCCTAAACCCGAAACCCGAAACCCTAAACCCTAAACCCTAAGCCCTAAACCCTAAACCAACCTAGCCAAACTCCTGGACTCCAAGGCTCATCCTGCACATGTCGAACTCCAGACAGTCCAGATGCGACTGTCTCAGATGATCGGCATGTGACGGGATCAGCTTCGGATCTATGGGTTTTTGGGGTAGGGTTGAGGGTTTAGGGTTTAGGGTTTAGGGTTTAGGGTCTAGGGTCCAGGGTCTAGGGTCTAGGGTTTAGGGTTTAGGGTGGGTCAATAGTAGGGATGCTGTGGGTTCATCGGCCAGTTCACCCTACTGTGGAGAGCGTGTTGCCCCGCCCTTTGCAAGCCCCCCCACCAGAGTTCCTGTTGGGGATTACCCAAAGAGCCCAATACCCCTTAATTCAGGAATATTCCTTGAACCATATTCAGGATTCCGACATCAATTAGGGTACATTCCTTAATTAAGGGGTATTGGGCTCCTTGGGTAAAAGACTGAGACATGCATCTGACTGAAAGGACATGACGTTGGGCTCGTGGTTTCGGTCGCTGGGCATCCAGGCGCGGTCATCAGCATGCCTGTCCAAGCATTGCCGGTCCCACCGCCACCACTGTCAGTAAATCTTTGTGTAACAAACGTCCGATTGCACTGCACTTATACTTGGTGTAGTACGGTCAAAACTTATGATAAGAAAGGTTCGAAGGTCCACCAGAGTCTGGGACATTTCTTAACCAGGCAGATGTATTAAGAAAGGTAGATTTGAGGCGAGAGTCTTGAAAACATTTCTTATTCAACCTGACCAACCCTTTGCTTTCTCCGCCCTCCAGCCTCCAGCCCTCCAGCCCCAAAGATTTTGGAGCAACAAAGCATTCAGATTGACAGGTCTAGGACAGGGGCTGGAGGGCTGGAGGGCTGGAGGGCTGGAGGGCTGGAGGGCTGGAGGGCTGGAGGGCTGGAGGGCTGGAGGGCTGGAGGGCTGGAGGGCTGGAGGGCTGGAGGGCTGGAGGGCTGGAGGGCTGGAGGGCTGGAGGGCTGGAGGGCTGGAGGGCCGGAGGGCTGGAGGGCTGGAGGGCTGGAGGGCTGGAGGGCTGGAGGGCTGGAGGGCTGGAGGGCTGGAGGGCTGGAGGGCTGGAGGGCTGGAGGGCTGGAGGGCTGGAGGGCTGGAGGGCTGGAGGGCTGGAGGGCTGGAGGGCTGGAGGGCTGGGGGGCTGGAGGGCTGGAGGGCTGGGGCTGGAGGGCTTAATCCTGGGCTGGAGGCTTAATCCTGGAGGGCTTAATCCTGGAGGGCTTAATCCTGGAGGGGATGGAGGGCTGGATGGAGGGCTGGATGGAGGGCTGGATGGAGGGCTGGATGGAGGGCTGGATGGAGGGCTGGATGGAGGGCTGGATGGAGGGCTGGCTGGAGGGCTGGAGGGCTGGAGGGCTGGAGGGCTGGAGCCTTGCAAAAAGGCCATTCAATTTGTAATTTCGTTTGGGTTGCGATTCAGACTCTGAATATAATTATTTTTCTCAATTCGAGAGTCTAATTTCTTGCTTCATAAAATTTCTTAACACAAAGTTCCACCGTAGCTTAATGAAGTTAGTACATTGTGAGCATGTGGGATTGAATGTGGCGGCAACAAGCCTGTTCATCATACTCGCGAACGCCGCCTTCCTAAAGTTCGGTAAGGAATGTGAGGGTTTACGATATTTAGGGGTACCTTATTGGGGTCCTTTTTTCTAAGGGGTTTGGGGGTCTATGTTAGGGGCCCCTCATTGTCGTAAGCCACCATGTGAGCTGTGTGGAGCCATGTCATCAACCTGCGTCCAGAGCAGCGTCGCATTTTGTTCCCTGATCGCCGGCGGGGTTTAGGGTTTAGGGTTTAGGGTTTAGGGTTTAGGGTTTAGGGTTTAGGGTTTAGGGTTTAGGGTTTAGGGTTTAGGGTTTAGGGTTTAGGGTTTAGGGTTTAGGGTTTAGGTTCGGGTTCGCAGGCGCAGCTCGTGTGAGATTGCATGGGAGGCGACCAAGCTAACAGTCCTTCACCCCACCATTCAGCCCAAGGATTTAGGGGTCGCAATAATTGGCAGTGGTATTTCCTTCTGGTCCCTATAATATAACTATACTAGAATAAACTCCAAAACTCTGTTCTGATTATTCAAGCCCCTATATTGGAGACCAGATGCGTCACTGAGTTCGAAGGTGACACACGAGGAAGGCTTTCACCAGTCTGAGCCCCACAACTATCACAAGGACGTGGGCATCGTCTTGGCTGACAACCCGTGCCATGACCCTAAACCCTGAACCCGAAACCCGAAACCCTGAACCCTAAACCCTAAACCCTAAACCCTACACCCTAAACCCTAAACCCTATCCCAGGTGGTGCCACAGTTGCTGCTTCTGCCAGGATCTGCTCAAAACCAGCGACCAGCCGATATCTTTCCACAGGTACAACGTCTTGGTCTCAGCTGGTGGGCCCCATACTGGTACTTGGAGCTTCATGGTACTTATTAACAAGTTTTAACTGTACTCATAACCGTACTTATAACCATTTTTTTAGGGCACTTTAGGGGCTCATAAGTGGATGATAAGTAGAGTAAAAAAGTGCTTACTAAGTACCATGAACCTCCAAGTAGGTCTTACGCTTGAGACTGTGTGCCCCCGTATGCCGCTGCCAAGAGACCCGAAGTACCCCAAACCACAAAAACCACAAAAACCCTAAGCCCCGAAAAGACGAAAATCTCTAACGCTGCAATTGCCCTAAACCTTACTCTAGGGGTCTCAACAAAATAAATACTACAATAACCCACGACCCTATTCTAAGTATGAAAAAAGCCCCAAAGCCTCCTCAGGCGCGCCTGCCCGACACCCAGTCTCCGGCGGTTTAGGGTTTAGGGTTTAGGGTTTAGGGTTTATGGTTTAGGGTTTAGGGTTTAGGGTTCAGGGTTGGTTTAGGGTTCAGGGTTTAGGGTTTAGGGTTCAGGGTTTAGGGTTTAGGGTTCAGGGTTTCGGGCCTGCCCCCCCCCCCCCCCCCCTTTTCGCCAGGCAGGCGGCATCGGGAGCGGGCCCCCAACGAACCAAGAGTCCAACAGGGAAATCCCCCCAGCCAACCCCCACTCAATGCCCCTTCCTCTCCTCCGCCAAAAAGGTGTGAAACGAAGTTCTAAATCCCAGTCCGGTGTGGTTTACAGGGTTGTTGTTGTGATTCTTAGGTAACTTGCAAGCGATCAAAAGGTTAGGAAGCTAAACCCATAGCCCCAGAACTCCCAACAAACAACCCTAAACAACAAACCCTCAACCCTCAACCCTCAACCCTCAACCCTAAACCCTAAACCCTCAACCCTAAACCCTAAACCCTAAACCCTAAACCCTAAACCCTAAACCCTAAACCCTAAACTTAAACCCTAAACCCCAAGCCCCTAGACGCGAGACCACTACAGGCCTGGCAGTGCCTCAGCCGCAGAGTTCGCCGGAAGCCCATGTCTTTGCATCGGGTTACTTGGAGGTTCAATGGCTGGCTAGGGTTTAGGGTTTAGGGTTTAGGGTTTAGGGTTTAGGGTTTAGGATTTAGGGTTTAGGGTTCAGGGTTCAGGGTTCAGGGTTTAGGGTTTAGGGTTTAGGATTTAGGGTTTAGGGTTTAGGGTTTAGGGTTTATAGAAATTGTATAGGGTTTGGATCCCAAAAAGTTTTGACCGAATGTTATGACCTGAGTTTTTGTTTTGGATCCTCTTGTTGTGTTTTTTGTGGGGCGGTGGGGGCGGTCCGTCTTGTGTTTCGGGGACCTACCGGGGATTCTTTGGGGCTTCTGACCGGTCCGTCTTCGGGCATCTACCGGCGATTTTCTGGGGTCTTCTAACCAATAGGGGCTTTCCTGGGGCTTTGGGGATTTTGCAGGGGCGTCCTGGGGCCTTAGGGTTTAGGGTTTTAGGGTTTAGGGTTTTAGGGTTTTAGGGTTTAGGGTTTAGGGAAATTGAAAGGGTCTGGATCTCAGGAACGTTTTGACAGGTTTGACCGAAAGTTTAATTTTCTGCAGAAGGCTGTGAGGCTGGGACTGGGCTGGGGCTGGGGCTGGGCTGGGGCTGGGCTGTGGGCTGTGGGCTGTGGGCTGTGTGGGGCTAAAACTCGGCTGGGGCTGGGCTGGGGCTGGGGGCTGGGGCTGGGGCTGGGGCTCGGGCGGGGCTGGGCCTGGGGCTGGGGCGGGGGGGGGGGGGCGGGGTGGGCTGGCTGGCTGAGTTGGGCTGGGGCTGGGGCTGGGGCTGGGGCTGGGGCTGGGGCTGGGGCTGGGGCTGGGGCTGGGGCTGGCCCCACAAATAACTTGCGAAATCTCGCATGATACCACCAAGTGCTTTGGATGAGTTTCCTCAAACTCTGCTTGTCAGGAAACTCAAAATGATACCACATACAATTTCTTTTATTTTGTCTTGAGGGTTTAGGGTTTAGGGTTTAGGGCTTTTAGAAATTGTCTAGGGTTCAGGTCCGGAGTTTGACCGAAAGTTTTGACCGACGGTCCCGTCTTGTGTTTCGGGGACCTACCGGGGATTTCGGGGGCTTCTGACCTGTCCGTCTTGTGTTTCGGGGACCTACCGGGGATTGCTTCTGACCGGTAGGGGCTTGTCGGAGGCATTTGTCTTTCCTGGGGCTTTTGGGATTTTGCAGGGTCGTCCTGGGGCCTGTGGCTGTTTTTGTGGGTCGTCGTTTAGGGTTTAGGGTTTAGGGTTTTAGGGTTTAGGGTTTAGGGTTTTAGGGTTTAGGGTTTAGGGTTTAGGGTTTAGGGTTTATAGAAATTGTATAGGGTTTGGGTCCCATTAACGTTTTGACCGGGTTTTGACCCAAAGTTTAGACAAATAGTGTGGGACATTCACGATGATACCACATACAATTTCTTTTTATCCTGGTCTTGAGGTTTAGGGTTTAGGGTTCGGTATCTCAAGTCCAAGCATTCACTAGTCAAGCAGCTTCCGAAGCTCAAAAGTTTCACAAACAACCCACACCCCAGTAGCAGCCCTAAACCTTACAAACAGTAGGTCTAGGGTTCAGGGTGTAGCGTTTATGGTTTAGGGTTTGATCCTGAACCGCCCTAGGCCCTGAACCCTCAACCCTAGGCTCTGCACACTATTAATAACGGACGAAGTCACATAAAGATTGGGCAAGGTCAAAGCAAGGGCGGGCAAGGTCATCTAGGTCGTAGACAGAGCGGGCAAGGGCATACAGCGAGCAGGCGAGGTCACATAAAGAGCGGGCACGGTCGTTTCAAGAGCTCACAAGGTTTGTATGACCTTTATCTATGTATGACCTTGCCCGCTCGTTTATGACCTTGCCCACTCTTCATGTGACCTTGCCCGCTCTGTATATGACCTTGCCCACTGATGAAATATGACCCTGCCCACAAATCATAAACATATTATATATATATATATATATACATATATATATATACATATATATATATACATATATATACATATATACATATATATATATACATATATATATAACTACATATTAATTTTTTATTTATTATATTAAGATACACAGGTTTTGGGTTTAGGGTTATGGCCAAAACAAAAACCTTACCACAAGCAC